ACTCGCCTCCTCCATCAAATGAGAACATCTTAAGTTTCTCACCCGTCTGTCTCTCGGCAAAACTGATGTATCGTTTGAAGACTTCAAAGACGGTCTCGGCACTTTTGTCTGGTAGGCCAAAAGAGACTCGGTAACTGCTATAATCGTCTGTGAACAATATATAGTATTCCTCTTGGTTGACAGAAGAAGTTCTAATTATTCCACTCAAATCCACGTGCACATTTTCTAGGAATTTGATAGCTCTAGGCCTAGTGGATGAAAATGGTAGGCGATGATTTTTTGCTAAAGGACATACTGGACATCTTGTTATTATTTCAAAATCATTTGTAGTGACAGTTTTAGGAAGTACATCATCAAGATAACCAAGGCTCCACATTCTTTTTAGGTACTTTTCACTCGGGTGGCCTAATGAATAGTGTAGTTTCAAAATTGTGAGTTGATTTGACTTTGATATTGATGATAGATGTGAACGATGACTGACCGGTGATCTTATGGCCACGTACATCATACTGCCTTCTCCGATAAATTGTCCTATGAATAACTCCTTCTTCCCATGATCGATTCGAAAATGAGGATCTTCTAGCACAGTCGTAACAGCACCAGCTCTCAGCAAACGACCTCCAGCGATGAGGTTTCGGGATAAATCGGGTACATATAAACAATCCTTCAGCTTGATGATTTCTCCTTTAGAATTTAATAAGTTTACATTCCCAATCGAGTGAATATCGAGAGTAGCACCTCCTCCGGCGAGATTCAATTTAGCACCGGGGTCATGATTTTCCATTAACGTAGCGGATTCGAATAAGCTCGCATCATGAAACATGTGATGCGAAGCTCCGGTATCGATCAGAGCGACTGAACCACATTTATCTCCAGCACAGGTTACTTGAGGATCGGCCGAGCATGAAAACTTTCCATCAATCTCTACTCGGTAACTAACTTCTCTTTCTTCAAGTTTGAGATTTTCAAAAGCCATATTGAGGTCTTCTGAATTTGGGAAATCAGAAAGATTAGAATGATGATTGAATCCTCTGGCTAGATGAGCACCTCGGCCACCGCGACCTCTACCACGAAAACCACCACGACCTCCACCACGGCCACCACGTGGATACTCGATCCATTCTCCAGATTCTTGTTTGGATCGTTTCCATGACTCCATTTTGCTGGCATTGTTAGGGTGATGGTAACATTCCAACTGATCGTGAGGTTTTGTTGGATGGTCCTGACCTAGGCATTTAGTCTTACTGCAAGTTTGCCATCTTCCAGACCGGCGGCTTTGACTGGCTTCGGAAGATTCTGCGATGCGACTAGACTGTTGGCGATTGGAGGAAAACATTTTTCGAGTTTGGTACGTTTTCTTCAATTCGGTTTCGAGGTTTCGGAATTTGACATGACCAGCGTCTAATAGATCACAGCCTTTTTCAGCCCAGCTTTGGTTGAGTGATCGGACAAATTGTCGCGCCTGTTCTTCTTCGGACATTTCACCGTTTGAACCTAGGTAAGCGTCAACTTTGGCTCTGAAGATATCGATATATTCTAATAAGTCTTTTGAGGAGGTTTGAGACAAATCGGTGATTTCGCTTCGTAACATGAGCTTGACCGACTCTGAATTACTGATATGATATTCGCGGATGGTCTTCCACAGTAAAGAAGGCGACGGTATCGTAATTTTAATACCGTTCTCGAATTTCGATATCATTGATATAAATCGAGTGGACTGAATAAGATCAATACTAGATAGTAGCCAGTAAAACAAGGCTTTCTTGGTAGCTGATAAGACTTCGGCGTCCATACCCGTACCTCCAGCATCTTCCGAGTCAAGATAATGGTCATAGGACGTGGCCATTAATCCAAAACGAATCGCGTCGGACCAGGCAACGTAGTTGGATGTTGATAACTTGATGTTGATGGTAATCTTATGTAAGATTGAATTCATTTTGATTGACTGACGTTGAGCGGGCGTATCAGTGTCAATTGGTGCAGTGGTAGCCATATTAGCGGATGGGACAGTAGTATGTGCTGAATGAGCTGATTCGGATGAATTTGAATTCTCTGATTGATCTTCTGTCTGAGATACGGCGTAAGTCTCGTCGGTATCCTCTGAGTGTGGAGCTGGGGTGGATGCAGGTGTTGGTAACTGGGAATCGTCAAGTGCTTCTTCTCTTCCTGACATGGATTTGCGTTTCGAATGAAATAACTAAGAGCTGAACCAGACTCTCGCTACCATGAAAAGCGACAAATCTCCTTTGTCGAGATACCTGAATTCCCGTGACAGTTTCTAGAAGTGAGTCTCAATCACTTCTCGTCACAATACCTGAAACACTAACCTGAATTCCCGTGACAGTTTCTAGAAGTGAGTCTCAATCACTTCTCGTCACAATACCTGAAACACTAACCTATAAGGTTTGTTCAGGTCACAATATAAAATAAGGAAAAGGGTCGACGCGATGAGTTCAGTAAGATTCTTTTCCTTTCCGTAAGAAGACGGATAAATTTCACCTGAATTCCCGTGACAGTTTCTAGAAGTGAGTCTCAATCACTTCTCGTCACAATACCTGAAACACTAACCTATATAGAACAAAAGATAGAAATAGACAAGTACAAAAAGGACATTACTTGTTAGATGAAGAGAATAGAAAGAATAGACCAGTTGACTATGTATCTGACCTATAAGGTTTGTTCAGGTCACAATATAAAATAAGGAAAAGGGTCGACGCGATGAGTTCAGTAAGATCTAGCGTCGACAATGATTCAGATGAAAAAGAAAAAGATAACATCATAGTATGATAATTAGTAACAGTCATATTGAAGATCAAACTAATGGAGAGTAGAGACTATTGATGATAATGTAGTGAAGGGGTTGAACTTACTCTTTTCCTTTCCGTAAGAAGACGGATAAAGGAAAAGAGTATTAGCGCGAAAAAGGGGGAGACGCAATTTAAATAGGGATCATTTAAGTTTAAGTCTGATATCTTAAGTTTGAATAAAACTACTGTATTTTAGTATGTAAAGTGATTTGATACTTAGAGTCTTATTCACCTTTCACCACGGCTGGGGTACTGAACTG